GGGAGAGGAATGGGAGAGTAGAGGGTCGAACGCAGGGATTGTATATAAAGTCAGATGTTGGGATATACACCTGGGAAGGAGGGGCGAGGTTACCTGACAGAGTGAGGACAGTTGGTAAGTAGAGTATAGGTCCTGGGGTAACTTAAGTAGAGTGTAGGTCCTCGTGAAGGATTGTTTGAACTGGGGCCCTAGAGAGACTGAATGGGAAAGATAGGAAATTGTAAATGGAAATGGTGATTAAAACTGAGTCTATGGAAGAGTTGCAATTCACAGTAAGGACAAGAGCTGGGCTGTGCTGCTCAAACTCTAATGTGCATATAGCTTAAGTTACTGCTGAGATGCCCATTTTGACCAGTTTATGTGGCTAGAGCATGAGATTCTGCATTTCTATCAAGTTCCAAAGTGATGCTGATGCTGTTGGTCCAGGGATCTCATTTTTAAAATGACCTAGGGTGGTATAGCTCAACTTTCTCAGTAAATTACAACCCTTGGGGAGTTTAAAAAATAGTGACACTAGACCAGTCTAGACCAGTAAGTCAAAGTTTCTGTGAGTTGGATTTAGATTCTCTGGGTTGAATTTAGAATTGATACAGTATAAATGTTCCCTCCGTTACTCTATTGTGAAGCCAGGGTTGAACACCTCTGGCCGAGAGTGAGTGAGCTTCAAGGCCATAATCATTGCATGAGGGAGAATCATGGAACTGAGGGCCAAAATGTTAGAAGTGTCATCTTCATGGTTGTTACAGTCATCAGAAGTCATGCTTTAGATGAAGTGACTATAAACCCAGAGGTCTGAGGGTGACTCCAAAAGAATATAGACACTGGGTGATATAATCCGAGGGCATGAGATGCAAAGCAAAGGTGTTTAGAGAAAATGGTCTGTGATGGGTGACTGTGAGTGAGGAGGACACTTAGCCAACCCCCGGCCCATCTGGAAATCAGACGTCAGTACTTACAGAGCATCCGGAAGAAGCAGTGACATTATCAAAAACACTCACTCAGATTTTAGTTAGGGAAAAGGTGAAGGACACAATAAAAGAGGCTGAAGATTAGAAGATTTTAGCGCTTTCTTCCAAGGCAGCACAAACGGTTTCAGGGCTTTTGGAGATGGTGATGTGCAGTGCCTGGGATTACAGCGCGGGAGGCCAGGGGAGGGAAGGTCTGCAGCCCTGACCTGAGCCTCGCAGGGAGACGCTGGGCTCAGAGCAGAGAGCTGTGGCCTGGCTGGCAGGCCTGGGCTGTAGGGGACGCTGGGGGTCTTACCAGAAGCTGAAGGTGTCCTGGGTTCCCTTTTTGCATTCCAGCAGCCATTTTCTGGCTGTAGAACCTTGTATTTCTTCACATAAAAGCATATAAGCAAACCCAATGTGGGAAACTGATATCAGCAGAGCTTCTGTTATTGAAAGGGGAGGTAGCAGAAGGGGGCGGTGCCCTGTGAGGGACCTGCACAGCACTGCTGGGGCTCTGTGGGCATGTTGGAGGTTCAGGTCGGAACCGCTGCTCCACCTGCTCTGATGAAATGTGGAGTGACGTATTGAAAACTAAGAATCATAGGCCTGTTAGTCTGGCTGGAATGCGGATATTCCCCGTTCTTGGCTCCCAGAGGCAAAGAATGAGCACTGGGATGAAGATGAAGTGATACAAATATAAAGCACGACATTTGGTTCTGTGATTGCCAAACTACAGTAAAGTACAGTGAGAAATATGTCTCAAAGAGTGAGACGGGTCCCCCCCTGGGAGTGAGAAGAGGAGACACACACTTTTTGTTTGTATGTTGGCTAATTTGTTGCCCTTTTCTCCCAGCAAGATTGGCTGTCATTTCCAACTTTGGGGTGATTGACAGGTCTTCCCTAAATCTTCCCAAAGAACCCATAGGGGCTCCACATCTGTAATGCTAATTGTAAGATAATAGACCCCAGGCACCAGGGAACAGTCCCCAGCTGCACTGTCGGTTCCTAGCTGCAATTCCATTCCCACTGTCCACCCTTAGCCACTTTTGTGACACCTGTTTACCTTCTGCCAGACCTAACATCACCCATCCATCATGTAAGTTTCTTTAAATGTTTTGTCAGTCAAGCAGATTGAAAGCTCTTCTATGTGTTAAACTCTTGTGATTAATAAGTGGTTTGTAATATCCCTGGGATCTCTTTATGTCATTTATGATTAGGTGACATCACCCTTGTTAAAATGATACTATTTCCATAGAAGAAACCATGGTTTTTGAATGCCACAGCTTAAGTCAGGTTCTCCAGAAGCAAAGTATTCGCCCAAGGTACGAATACAAGTATTTTTTAAAGAAAGGGCTTCCAGGAGGAGTCTGTCCAGTAGGCAGAGGAAACAGAAGAAAAATGGAAACACCAAGAACAAGTTCAATGTCCCTTATCTGAAGTGTTTGGCACCAGTAGAGTTTCAGATTTCTGGTTTTGGAAGATCGTCATGTACATAATGAGATGTCTAGGGGATGGTACCAAACTGAAACATAAAATTCATTTATGTTTCATATGTGTTTTCTACTATAGCCTAAAGGTAATTCTATATAATGTTTTTACTTTTATTTATTTAGTTTTATGACAGGGTCTCACTCTATCATCCAGGCTGGGGTTCAGTAGCATGATCATAGTTCACTGTAACCTTGAATTTCTGGGCTTGAATGATACTCCCACCTTAGCCGCATGCTCCTTGCCCTGCTAAGTCTTATCTAATTTTTTTTAAGATAGGGTCTTGCTATGTTGCCCTGGCCAGTCTCGAACTCCTAACCTCAAGCAATCCTCCCACCTTAGCCTCTGAAAAGTGTTGAAATTATAGACATGAGTCACCACACTCAGCCTTACACAGTATTTTTAATAATTTTGTGGAAACAGAGCTTGTGTACATTGAACCATCAGGAAGCAAAAGTGCCACCCTCTCAGCCACCCACGTGGATGGTCTGTGGTTACCTGGTATCACCACCACTCCCTTGGGCACACTGAATAAACTGTGTGTTGTAGATCTGCGCCTTGGCTTCACCCAGTCACAGGAGGGCAGGGGTAGAATGAATTTCTCATTTGTGGTGTCATGTCAGTTCTTAAATCATTCTGGATTTTGGAGCATTTCAGATTCTGGATCTTCAGATTAGGGACGCTCAACCTTTGACAGGATAAAATCAGGTGAAATCTCAAAGATGTAGCTTCAGCCTGATCCCCCGAGGGGACCTCTGGAAAGTTACTACTTAGACTCTGACCCAGTGATGCTGAAGCAGTATTTCCACAGCCATTAGTCAGTGGCTACTGGGGAAGTTGTGAGCACATAAACACTTCCAGGCTGAGAGCTGCCTTTCAGGAAAGAGTGGCAGTATATGGGTTCTTAGAAAAAGAGCCCACTAAACACGAAAAACATATAGAAAGGATCCAAGACCAACTTAGGAGAGGTCAGCCGTTCTGCCTTCTGTGAATAGAAATCTTTTTCTAAAATAGCATTGGTACTTAGGTAGAGATTAGTTTTAAAAATGTTAATATCAACTTTCAATTATTGGCAAGATTTCAACCAGCATAAATCTTGCTACTTTCTCGTGTGTTCTTCCCACAAGATCATATTGCCACATGTAGGACCAAACTTCTAGAAAATCCAGGTCAAGCCAATATGAGTATATGTATATCAGATACATCAACCATACGCAGTCCGTTTTTGAAAACAACAAGCGTATTTTTAAAACCCACTGTTTTAAATGGATTCCATTCTTTCTCACCGCCATTAGTGCAAATACCAAGAATGTTTAACTATTTTGAAATTTACAACGTTATAAATAGTTGCCCTTCTCCACAGTCTCATCTGTTGCTGTATTTCAGGGGTATTGTTGATTTTTGTTTTTCTCTTTAAATGTTTGCCTCTCTCCTAAGGATTAGAGAGGAGCATTATTTGAGAGTCCCTGCCTTAAATGTAATTTAGAGTTGAGCAATGTCAAACCCACTGACAGATGTAGAGATTAATTTTTAGACCTCTTGTGGTGCTGGAGAAGCTCCTTAAGGTTTTGAAAATGGCAACAATATTGACTCCCCACCACTAAAGGTTACTCGGATCCACGTTCACCCTAATGCCCAAGGAAAGTTTAAGTGTGGTAAATATCAATGTTGTTTTGCTTTATGAAAAAACCTGTGCATGGGGAAAAAAAAAAAAAAAGGTAACAACAGTCAGGACAAGAAATGCTTTATCCTCCGGAAGGATAGTTTACATAGGTATATTTTTTCATTCACTAAGTATAACATCACTGTTGCTACACTGATATTATTTGCATAGAAACAAATTTGATAGTTTCGAACAGTCACGTCAGGGTCCCCCAAAGCAAACCAAGAGCCAGAGATTGGAGCACTAGAAAAATACAAATGGAGATATTTATTCATGATTTATATGCTATTTGGATTGTATTAAGGGTGGGTAGAAAAACTTTTTTCCCCAAATGCTTTGGCTTAGATGCATCTCTAAATATGAGTTTGGCTACATTTTGGAGGCTATTTAATCCATATGTTTCAGTGCGGCTACATGTAAATCATCCAAATGTGATTTTGTCACAGCTACGTGATGTCTAAAATGCCTTCTGAGCTTTTAAAACAGTCTTTATATTCTTTTCTGCAAAGCATCAGGTAAGTTGCCAAGAGTAAACAAATCAAACAGCAAAAGGTTTGAGTTCACTTTGAAATGCTTATCCTATTATTTTTGATTGGGTTCTGAACTTGGCAGTGCACATTCTGGGTTCCTGCCTGCAGGGCAAAGTGAAAACAATTTCAACACTGTGTTTTCCAATTGGTTCATTGACATTTGAGGATAATGTAGTACAGGCAGCATCAGCATGTTTGGCAGGTGAGTGAGACTTAACATGACCTCTGAAAGTTGCTGCCTGCTAATTTGCAGAAGTTCATACCTGGCACAACACTGTACTATGTACATATTGCAAAACTCAAGTTAAGACAGGCAGCCATCAGGGGGTCCATACTGGGGATTCATCTGTTTTTCTTGTGCCTCTATAGGTGGAATGGTTGAAAAATGAAGACATCATTGACCCTGTTGAAGATCGGAATTTTTATATTACTATTGATCACAACCTCATCATAAAGCAGGCCCGCCTCTCAGACACTGCAAATTACACCTGTGTCGCCAAGAACATTGTTGCCAAGAGGAAAAGCACAACTGCTACTGTCATAGTCTATGGTGAGTGAGCATTCAGGGAATCAATCAAGTTCTAGTTCATGTCTAACTGTACTTTCTCCTGGGGATTAGTACATGTACCTTAATTTTAAAATATCAACCTAGCAGCTCATTTTGATCTCCATGGCTGCTCCCTTCCAGCCTCTTATAGGATAGTGAGGTTTAACTATCTCCCTGATACTGTCAAGAAAGACCAGGCTTGGATGTTCTTTGCCCTTTATTAGTTGACTTCTAGGAAAGTGAAGGAAGCCTCCCTTGCATGCCTGCTGTTTCCCTCAGCCCTCCCCTGCTCAGGACCTGCACCACCAACATCTAGATGGCGTTCTGGAGGTGAAAATGCACAAAGCAGCCTCGGTCTAATGATAGCAGACCCTCAGGAAGGCTGAAGCCAACCTGTTTCCCCGACGCGTCGGAGGAATTTTAACTTCCAGGAGCTTGTTCTATTTATTCTATCAGAAGCCTGCAGAGTGAAGATGAAGGATGCCTTATCTTGACCCAGTGGGCCTGATCCTACCAATATGGCAAGCCGCCTTCTTGGGAAGCTCCTTCCTCCCCCGTCCTCTCTAATCCGCCTCATCCGTAAGCCTATCATTTCTCTGGAAGTGCTAAACAATTTTGCACCCCATGTCGATGGGGCACATCCACTTTTATTTCTCTGTGAGATTTAGCACTTAAGTTGTTTTCTAGTAATTTCATGAGTAATTTCATCTCCCTGGCTGAGCTTTACGCTCCTCTGTAGACAGAGAGTCTGGTCTGTATTTTTTTATATTTCTCACATTGTTAGACATGTGATATAGATCCTCAAATTGCTGATGATTCATTGTCTCAGAGAAAACCAAACAACCCTGGGAAGTTGAGGTTATGCTATTTCCAGAATGACATGCCCATGTCTACCACCTCTCAGAACATGACTCAGATTTTCATCCCTGTCGCAGCGTTCAGTGATATTCTTAATGGCTGTGAAGGAGGGATAGTCGCTGGCAAGCTTCTGGTTCCTGGTACAGTGATACATCCCTTAATGATGGGGCTACATCTGAGAAGTGTGCCATGAGGTATCTTCGCCACTGTGTCACCTTGACAGAGTGCACTTATGCAAACCGAGATGGCACAGCCTACCGCACACCTCAGCTATGTGGTTATTGCTCATAGGCTACAACCTTCTACGGCTTGTTGCTGTACCCAGTACTGTAAGCAGTTATAACACGATGGTATCTGTGTATCTAAACATAGAAAAGGTACTGTAAAAATAGGTGTAGCATATTTTAAAAAAAAAAAGGTACACCTGCATAGGGCAGATCTCAGGAGTGGAGCTTACAGAACTGGAAATGGCTCTAGGTGAGTCAATCAGCGAGGGGTGAGTGGATGTGAAGGCCTAGGACTTCGCTGTACATGATTGTAGGCTTTATAAACACTTCACTTAAGGTACCTCAACTTAGTTTTAAGACAGAGTAATTGCACTACTCTATAGTGCACTACTATGTAGTGCAATAGCTATAGTGTTATGATAACTATGATGCCACTAGGTAATAGGAGTTTTTCACCTCCATTATAATATTATATGCAGTTTGCCCTTGACGTAATGTTACTCAGCACAGGACTCTACTACTGCAGATAGCATTGAAGAAGTGAGAATATGGCACCTCAAAATGTGCCACTGTGCCAGGAATATTGGCTGATTTATAGAATTGAAAATAGCAAGTACAAGATCACTCTGAGATTCCTTCTTCCCAAAGCAGGCTGGAGGCTAGACAGGGTGGCTCATGCCTGTAAT